GAGAGTGTGTGTTTGTGTGTGTGTGTGTGTGTGTGAGTGTGTGTGTGTGTGTGTGTGTGTGTGTGTGTGTGTGTGTGTGTGTGTGTGTGTTTGTGTGTGTGTGTGTGTCTGAGAGTGGGTGTATGTTTGTGTGTGTGTGTGTGTGAGAGAGTGTGTATGTGTGTGTGTGTGTGTGAGTGGGTGTATGTTTGTGTGTGTGTGTGTGTGTGAGAGTGTGTGTTTGTGTGTGTGTGTGTGTGTGAGTGGGTGTGTGTGTGTGTGTGTGTGTGTGTGAGAGTGTGTGTTTGTGTGTGTGTGTGTGTGTGAGAGTGTGTGTGTGTGTGTGTGATTGTATGTGTGTGAGTGTGTGTGTGTGTGTGTGTGTGTGTGTGTGTGTGTGTGTGTGTGTGTGTGTGTGTGTGTGTGTGTGTGTGTGTGTGTGTGTGTGTGTGTGTGTGTGTGTGTGTGTGTGTGTGTGTGTGTGTGTGTGTGTGTGTGTGTGTGTGTGTGTGTGTGTGTGTGGATGTTTGTGGTTGTGTGGGTGTGTAAGGAAGGGAAGATCAGAGACAGTTAAATATTGGACCCCATTTCAATGTACCTCCCGATGTCTGAGCCTGGAGGAAGTTTGTTTCTTGTTACAGCGTTGTGTGGTTGTGTTGTGACCCACAAAGTGAAGGAGTGAGAAAGTTAAATCGATTTACACTCACATTTCAAACCTTCCTCAGCTCTTGTCGGAAATCACACGACACCAGGTTATAGTCCAACAGGTTTATTTGAAATCACTTTTTGAAATCTCATAAAGCTGTTGGACTATAACCTCGTGTCATGTAACTTGTGACTTTGTCCACCCCAGTCCAACACCGGCCCTTCCACCTCCCTCAGCAATTCGCACCTGCCTGCCCCCATTGATCATGTCTCCTAACCATAAGAACTGATGAAATAGGAACTGCCGCCAGCCATTCAGCCCCTCGAACCTGCTCTGCAATTCAATAACATGGTCGTTGCTCTGATTGTAACTGTCCTTTTACCTTTCTGACTCCCCACACACCTGACTCCCTTCGTGGAGCCTGAGCAATATTCCATGGGCCAGCTTCCACTGGTGTCTGAGGAAGAGAAATTCCCAACACTCACTTTGCCAGAAGACATGTGCCCTTATTTCCATCTGAGATGGAAGACTGTGCCCCTTGTTCTAGATTCTTTAATGAGGGGAAACATTCTCCCAACAAACGTTCCTGTCAAGCCCGATCAGAGTCTGGGGTGTTTCAATACAATTACCTCTCACCTTCCAAACTCCAATGTGTATAGGCTAACCTACTGAACCATTCCTCACAGGACAACTCCCTTCATCCAAACAGTCACCTGCTCACAACTGCCTCCAATTCCCCTGAAGTGAAGAGACCAAATTTGTCAGTACTCAGTACATAATACACTGTACACAGTATACTGTTTGCAATCACTCAGAGATAGCAGGAACTGCAGATGCTGGAGTCAGAGATAACACAGTGTGGAGCTGCAGGAACACAGCAGGCCAGGCAGCATCAGAGGAGCAGGAAGAGGATCCTGATGAAGAGTCCCGACCCAAAACGTCAGTTTTCCTGCTCCTCTGATGCTGCCCGTCCTGCTGTGTTCCTCCAGCTCCACACTGTGTTAGTCCTGTTCCTCTGATGCTGCCTGTCCTGCTGTGTTCCTCCAGCCCCACACTGTGTTATTCCTGCTCTTCTGATGCTGCCTGACCTGCTGTGTTCCTCCAGCCCCACACTGTGTTATTCCTGTTTCTCTGATGCTGCCTGACCTGCTGTGTTCCTCCAGCCCCACACTGTGTTATTCCTGTTTCTCTGATGCTGCCTGACCTGCTGTGTTCCTCCAGCCCCACACTGTGTTATTCCTGTTTCTCTGATGCTGCCTGACCTGCT